GTGTATTCAAATGTCAACAGCTGACTAAGTTTTGTTTATACTCGAGAGATACGAGTAGAGTATTCCGATCATATTCATAATGTAAACATAAATGAGATAATATCGGTAAGCAACGACATCGGAAACGACAATGAAACAATTTAAGCGACTCACTCAATGTATCAGTTAGCACTTACACGATAAACCGTCCTTAGCGCAAGCATGAGTCGCGGCCGTTTAGTTCACACGGTCACGACCGCTGTACATATTTTGACAACCATTACAGATACGTCTTTTATCCCGGTCGCGGTGTAAACAGAAGCCATCCGGTTAAAGAAAATGCTTACAGACATTGAACCTATCCTATCCTTTAAATTTGCAAAAAAACAAAAACTAGTTAATATAACACAAACAGTTCGTAGTCTATTTGAAAAGACGACGGAGTTGCCCGTGATCTTGCGATTATACTTATTGCTTATTGCTAAGTCTGGCTTGCAACAAAGCCAGACTTTGTTTCTTTTTACTTGTGTTTTTTATGTATCTTTTTAGCTTGTGATGTGTATTGTGTGCCTAATAAATAAAACTAGATGATGACCGAGCTTTGCTCGTTTTTTTTTTTTTTTTTGATAACGCCATGTTGTTGTTTCTTTAAAGCGGTTAGTTGCCCTCAATTAAGAAAAATAGTATTATTATTCGCCAATAGATGTCGGGAAGAGTTGATTATTGAAAACACGAATAAAACAACATTTTCTGAAAATAAATCTTAGCTAGATCGATTTATCGCCCCCGAAATCCCCTGTATACTAAATCTTATGAAAATTGTTGGAGCCGTTTCCGAGATTCAGATTATATACATATAACTATATTAATATACAAGAATTGCTCGTTTAAAGGTATAAGATAAGATAAGATAAGATAAAATAAAATAAAAATTAATACCATGATTCGATTCTAGAGCAGAAATTCCTTGAAAGAATTTTGTATCTGACAAATAGCTTTCATTCAAAATGCAATACAGTAATATGTATAAGTAAATCCGCATTGTTTTTCTCACACATGTCCACGATTTGTATCCTCTATTTTATCGTTGAACTTGTTGGACATTCATCATATTATTCATATTATTTTATATTAAACCCATATTTACAATACTTTTTCGGGGTTTCGAAAAAATTATGGATTATTTTTTATTCTACAGAATTACGTTACACGTAATCTAATTTATTCAGTTACTACTTTTTTCCTTTAGTCCTATTTTAGAATTGACATTTGAATGGCACGCAACAATTTGAAGTTACCTTCAACAGATGTTATGTTTATTAGAGTGTTTTTTCTTGTTGGATTGTCATGGTATTTCCGTCACAGGAATTCAATGTCTTGTGAAAAGCAACGTAAGTAAAATATCCGAATCATATTACGTAGAGTACACAACGGCGGATCCAGTGGGGCTCATGGGGGTCATGACCCCCCCCCTGAGCTAGTTCCAGGACTTGAACTAACTTGGACTAATTGAAGAACATCATGTTTTATTTATTATCTATTGTTATCAACATTAAATTATAAGTTCTTAACTTGCCCACGACTATGTGACCCCCTCCTGGCGCCAAAGCTGGATCCGCCCTTGAGAGTACACGCCTTAAGAATTCATTATCAGTCTGATTAATATAGCATATAGGACGTATAAAACTTGAAATAGGTCGGCAGTAAATAACCCAATTGATTGAGTGCGCATGCAAATTTGTAAATTGCAAGACAATAGACCCAAACGAGGTGTCAGTTAATGATTGGTGTCCGACGCTTGTCTAACCTAGATTCTCAACGTGTAGGACTCGGTGATATTTATTAATGTAAAAAACAATATCTCAATTTAAAATTGAAGAATCAATATTTATACATAATTATATTCATTCAAAAGAAATTATCGTTTTAGTCGTTTGGAAAACGTGGTGTTTAAATAGACCCCAAAACAATGAAACCGTTCGTTATTGAATTTCGTGAAGGTAAGAAGAGTATTTAATTAGTATAAAGAGAAACATCTTTAGCAATTATTATTACTAACGATTGTACTTTTATTTTTCTTTAAGCTGATAAAACTCAAACATTGCATTCGTTTGCAATCAATTCAAGAATATAATTAAATCAAAATAATACGACAGGAAGATTCAGTGTCATATTATTTGTTCGACGTAACGACAATTTAATAGGTGCCGTGTGTACAAATTCTGCTTTGTCTGACACGGGGTGAAGGTCGTTTCACGATAAGATTAATGACACAAACTCTTACGAAAATAAGCCCCTTAAATTGTGTGCCTAAGTATTTGTGTCTTTCATAACGCAATTGTTACATGAAAAATCAATGTTCTTATTATTACAGTATATTTTTTTAAGTCGCGGTATCGACAATAAATGTTTGTTTATAATTTGACGTGGATTAATCCGTCTTTCGTCTTAAAATGAAAAGTAAGATATTAATGATTTTTCAATAATTCTAATGTCCTATTTGGACAAACGAGCTCACAGCTTGATTTTGATGACAATCCCAGATTTTTATAATAACGTGAAAACCTATTCTACCGTTGCCATTCTGAGCTGCTTCAATGGAAAATTTCACAACAAAAATAAAAGAACGTACTGCGCATAATAATGCCAGTGTTTTGTGAACACAAAAACAAAAAAAAGAAAACAAAAAAAAACATTCTCCATTAAAAGTCACCCGTCACGTTCGTAACGACAACGTGAATGCGCTACCGGCGCCACTCCGCCTACGTGACGTGAGTGACGCGTAAGGCTATTCACGAATCACGAATGAACCTGGGCTCGCGGACCCTACCGGAATTACGGCTTCATAACTTTTGATGTCATACCTGAGGTAATCGATTTGTGTAACGTCGTTAATCGCTTATGTAATTTATTGTTTGAGGCTAAATTAACTTCATTAAGCACTGGAATCTTTTTTGTCCCTACCTATTCGCTGGTATCTTAATAGCCTTTTACAGCTACGCCCGGACGAGTGGGTGTACCCAAGGGCTCTCGACCTAACAGAATTTGCAACACCAGCCCTAAGAATAGCAGTGCGTAGCAGAATCTACCACCGGATCGGAATCGCGACTCACTGAGAAAATCAGGCGAGAAACTCAATGGACAGTGTCTATGGGTATTATTTTAATCATTGACTTAGTGAAATGAATCGAAATGATGGAGACGGAGGGGCATTGAAAGAAAATAGTTTCACAATGATTGGTACATGTTTCTATTCAATATAGAATTTCACTTTTTATTGGTGATTTAATTAGTGATAGTATCATTATAGTATATTAGTAATAACAAATTTTATTAATGGTGGTAAGTGAAATTAATTTACTATTACTTAGTGCATTTTGACTAATAACTTAAGACGAAATGGGGAATATTCAGCGCTTATACTACCACAAAAACAAAGATTGAGTCCTTGTTTTAGGGGAAATGCACAATAAGAGACTAGCGGGCTTATTACCTAAGTTATTGTGCAGTATTAAAGGCATTAAACATTTCTAAGGAGGTTCTTTACAAATGTATGTATAACTAATTCTTTAATTGTAAAGCTTTTTTATTTATTTTTTATTGCATATGTGGATGGACGAGCTCACCGCCCACCTGGTGTTGCCACTCACTTCAGACTGAGGTCTCTGTATGAGGTTCTATAGTACAACGGCTGTCCCAGCCTTCTAACCGGAACGTATTACTCCTTCGCGGCAGAAATAGACGGGGTAGCGGTCTATCTTCCATGTGATGTTTGAATCGAGATACCTACGATATCCCGTTGTCGCATTGTTTCCGTAACTGCATTGCGTGCGATTACGCGCCTTAGACGCAACAACCAATGATTATAACTTTTAATTTTTATTTCATTTCTCGTCATTAATTTACGTCATCTAAAGTGTTTTCAATAACTTTGATTGTAGCGCAAAATACTTAAATTAATAAATTTTACAATCTTTACAAAATTAAGCCGCAATCGAAATTTATTTCATTACACATATTATCACACTTTTATATTGTGATATTCGTGTAATCACACGTTTAGGTATAGAAAATTCTTTGCAAGGTCGTTTACCAGCCAACATTAGTTTGATAACAACACCTTAAGCTGTAGTCAAATGTAATAACATGTGTTATGTTCTGAATTATCGAACCGCAGCCATTAAATTTAGATTTAATTGATGCTAGCTACGAAAAATCGGATGGTCCTCAAAGAGACGTTTGATCAGACATATACTTATGTAATACTTAGGTATTTATCAAAAATGTTCATGTTGGTACAATTATAACAATTGACGATTGTATTTAAGTAATTCTTTTTGTATTATTTAATGATATTATGGATCGAAATTTCGACTTAATTATTGTTAGGCTGTAATTGGAGTTACAGTTATCGTAACGTCGTCCACCTTAATACATGAGGTCGAAATTGCATTTGAGATATGGGAAACGCACCCTTCAAATCGAAACTACATGGACAACAGCAATGGCAGAACCACAACCAAGCTTCTGCTACCGCCTTCCTGTTGATCCTGAGCATATTATTATACATACATAATTAAACTGTTTAGAATAATTAGTAACCACTTCGAAATGAGAATTAATATTAAATTTCAATAATCGTAAGATTTTATAGGTGTTTATGTAATTCCAAAAACGTAGCTTTTGTAGGTAATTTAGACACAAAACATCTCAGGAGGTTGAAGTGGCGGATAATTATTTTCCCAGCCCCTAAAAATTAACATAAATTCTAGACGTATTTTTTAATAATCCTACTAATATAATTTACAATATCATATTATGGTAGACGTGAGCTGAACATATCGCAGGATGAAGCTCGATAATAAAAAATGTTTTGAATATTAAATCATCGCTGCAATCGTTCCATGATTTTTGGTAATTACGTGTTTCTCGATCAGTCTGCGTGTGTAGCGTTGATAAGAGCAATTATTTATAAAATCCATCAGAATGTTGATCATAAATTTTGTTTTTAACGTACGTACCTCCTGGATGCAGCAAGGTGCTGGGATGTATATTCCCATCTTTATGTAGCAAGATATGCTTAGGCTCGGTCACCAAGTAACAGGTGTTTCCGTCCGCAATGCATCTCTGGAAGCATCGCGCCGACTGATAGCACAGTGCCCAGGCGTGCTCCTCGCTTATGGACGAGTTGAACGCCTCCAGGATCTGCTGGAGGCTGATGCAGTTCGAAGCGTTCAGCGTGAACTCCGTCCCGCCGGTCGCTCCGGCAATACCCTTGCGCATCATCGCGCTCAGCCGGCCGGCCAGCGACCATCCATCCTTACATACAACGTTCACAACACAACACCGATCGTGCCGCACTTTTATTCACATAAAAATTTCTCACAAAAATATATAGTAAACGTGTTTTTATTGTCACCGTGCCTCCCCCGAAACGTCACTGTCACCGGTTGACAAGGGGGTGGTTTGAAATATTGTGTTGTTGTGCTCGCGATCGTTCAGCGCATGCGCGAGCCGCGTCAGTCAAACGATCAGTACGTACGAACGCTGCGGACGTGTGTGGCAGACTGGCAAGTGGCGGCGAGCGACAGTCCGCGGTCCGCGCTCGGCTCCCAGCCTCCAAACTCGGGGACCGAGATGCGCCCTACCCCTTACTTCCTATTTTCCTCGACCAAGCACGAGAAACTTCATATTACGCACGACTATTGGTACTTCGATTTCCCGATCGACTAGCTTCCATTTCGTTTGGCGGAGATAAGATACGAGATAGGTGCGTTTCACAATAATACAATGATAATTCGAACAGTTTTTTATTTTATTTTATTTCAGTACAATATGTAAACATCACTCAATCCATTAAACATAATCTTTCGATGACGTAATGATTTACCAATTAATAAAAAAAAGAAAGGAAAATCTTTAAGGATCATCGTTACATTCATAATATTATTTGCAACTTTTAGATAGTACACTTATTTGCAAAACTCAAAATTTTGTTGAAAATAGTGAAAAATTGAGTTTTCTATTATAATAATAAAAGATAAATGGAATGTTAATACCTAAAATAAATTACACAGACAATTCAAATCAAAGATTTAATACAAAGTGTGTTTAGTTGATGAGTACAAATCAAAAAATTGTTTTGCATTAAAAGAAGTGTAGTCATTTATTTATATTTTAATTCGAAGAAAATGTATTATCTTATCGAACAAATATATGACAATACCTAAATACTTTCCTTCTATTATAATTTAAAAATCAACACGATTGTGACAAAAGATCATATGATTTACACAGGGATTACACAGGGTGTATTGGAACTGTTCCGGGACATGAAAATTCTTAGTAAAGTAAATTCATAAATTCAAAGGATAGTTCGAAGTCTCAATTGGAAAATCATGTTTTTTTTCCGTAGCACGCGATGTAAAGCAAACAAAAGCTGACAGACTGGCGGGACTCTGATACGTACCGATGCAATGGTTAGCTGCTTTCTCACTTCATTACGGATTCACGTTTAAAAAAAAAACTTTTCACGACATAACCTTACATCTCTATTCTCAAGCATTCAAAAATAGAAAAGACTCAACGTCTATCCACAACCTGCCTACAAAGAATATTGCGGTATTTTGGTCATGTTGCACGCAGGGATACCAGCAATTTGGAACGCCTTGTGGTGACCGGTAAAATCGAGGGAAGAAGGCCTAAGGCTAGAGGTCCCAAACGATGGTCGAACCAAATAGCGGAGGAAATAAAAATACTTCTCAGAGACGCACTCCATCAAGCTACAGAACGGGATCGATGGAGACAGCTAGTTGACGGAATCAAACTGAGTCACGATCCTCAGCAATGAGGGACCGATTGAAGAGAGAGAGAAACTCACATGAGCCTGCAAGTATTCATATTCAGTGTGTGAATATAGGTTTCCATTAACCTTAGTCTTTAGAATGAGCTCAACGGTGTTTCCTAAGCGCTGACATGTCCTTCTTCCAAAGAGGCTTGCGAAGAGTACCTTACGGCAGGCAGCGACTTGCCTGTGCCCTTGGCATTGCTGACCTCTTACCATCACTCGTACGCTCGCTGACCACTTACCATCAGTCGTACCGTATCCTCGTCGGCCTACAAAGGCAATAAAAAAAAGGTTAGTGTTTATCATCCACGAATAACAAGACACTAATGTAATAACAAATAACCTTTTTTTATTAAGTTTGAGAGATTACTGGTGGCCCGGAGGTCTTCCCAGTTTCACCAGGACAGGTGGGGCGAGCGAGGGCTCAGCCAGGACGAATAACATTCAGCGGATTAAGCGACAAGACTCGCTTTGACATGAGAACGAAGGGCTTTGAACCCATTGTACACCCCCTCCTCCATTAAACAAATAAAAATCACTACCAAGACTATGAACTCGTGACAAACAGCAGATTTATTGGCCCTAACGTTTTTCACCGATTTGTAACAAATCATATCTGAATTCCAACCTTTTTTTTTCATTGCATAGATGGGTGGACGAGCTCACAGCCCACCTGGTTTTAAGTGGTCACCTGAGCCCAAACATCAGGCACGCCTCCGCCCACCTTGAGATATGAGTTCTAAGGTCTCAGTATAGTTACAACGGCTGCCCCATCCTTCAAACCGAAACGGATTACTGCTTCACGGCAGAAATAGGCAGAGTATGGTACCTACCCGTGCGGACTCACAAAAGGTCCTACCGTCAGTAACTGTATCCACGAACTATACCCTAAGAATGTATTCACAACACGGTAATCACGTGCTACCCGTCACAGCCTAGCGAGCTTGACTCCCGGGGCGAACTTCCTATGTATGCGATGGTCGAAAAGTCCCTATTACACATACATATACTGAACTGTAGACTAAGCACAAATGTTTTGGCCTCGGGGACGGTCGCATATATCCTCTATAGACTTGACAGCTGTCAAACTTGTCATGGTTGACAGCTGAATCATTACTAATATATTAAAAATAAAAACTGATTTGCAATTGAAAATAAAATTATTGGATAAACTCTTTGTTTACAAACGCTTTAATTTAAATATTTCTATAGTTTAATATGTATTATTTTTTAATAGACGTCCTCTATATACTTGACAGCTGTCAAACTTGTCATAATTGACAGCTGAATCGTTACTAAATTATTAAAAAGTATAAAAACAGATTTGCAATTTAAAAAAATTATGGGTTAGATTTAAACTTTGTTTTTAATTCCAATCCTTCAATAGTTTAATATGTATTCTTTTATAATAGAATAATATGTTTTTATCAAATTTAAAAGTAATTTTATGATTTACACATTTTGCGTACATGTCTTTAGTAATATTTACGTAAGATTTTTTAGATTAAATATAATTCCCTTGGAAAAAAATAATATCATTTATTTTTCATAATATCTAAAGTTCTATCTAATTTTACATTTACTTTTTATCGTTTTAATTTTATTATCAGTCGAATTTTTTTATTCAATGCAACATCGTCATTTTATTATTAACTTTTCTATATTTCTGTGACCTATTAATACTGATCAAAGAAATTAAATAACATTTTCACATATTCGATAAAGTTGTTCGTTATTTATATGTGTATTTATGTACATATATCACTTTTTTATTTCGTGATAGTATTTCATTTTCATCATCCATTCTTTTTTTATTGTTGGCAACATTGGTGAATATTTCGTCACATGGAAACGAGGTGATTTTGTCGGAGAGAGAAAACATCGGCTTGTTCATTTTAGCTCAACGAGTGCATATTCTACACTATTTGGAAAATGGCCATAGTGATTCTTAGATAACGTCGACTAACCTAAGTTTTATTATTACATTATTTCTTGTAATCAGAACCAAATACTCAAAAAAACGAATTTCACTAATCCGTTAGTTGTTAATTTGTAATTATTTTTTATTAATATTCAATCACAGTCTACTTTAAGCTTCTGTATATTGACCATAATAATGATTACATCTAAAATAAATATACTTTGCTTGGATATGAGAAAAACAGTAAATATGAATATCTGAGCACTGAAATATTTCGATTCTAGTCTCAAAACCGTTTTCATTACTTTAAACTTTATTTAACTTTAATCTGGAATCGTGTAATTGGCGCGGACGCGTCGCTCGAGACACGTACAAAGCTACCAATAGTTAATATACAATTTAGTAAAATCTATATAGAAACAGTCTTATTTCTTCTTCAAGCTCCACAGCGGATCCAAAAAGTTGAGGGGGTCTTTCATGTCTCCGCTCTTGAGGCCGGGGGCCTGCTTCATCTCCTCGAATGATTCCCGAGAGAATTTCTTCTGCGGCGTGGCGGAGTTGGAGTTGTTAGGGGTGGGAGTGACCGGGGGGAGGATGGAGGCTCCTGTTGGTCCGGAAACTGCTTCACCGTTGAAATTCGTTGTCCCTGTGTTTATATAGTTATTATGTAGTTTGGACATGTACATGTTGTGGAGCCCCTAGACATCATTTTTTTTATTGCTTAGATGGGTAGACGAGCTCACAGCCCACCTGGTGTTAAGTGGATACTGGAGCCCATAGACATCTACAACGTAAATGCGCCACCCACCTTGAGATATCAGTTCCAAGGTCTCAAGTATAGTTACAACGGCTGCCCCACCCTTCAAATCGAAACGCATTACTGCTTCACGGCAGAAATAGGCTGGGTGGTGGTACCTACCCGTGCGGACTCACAAGACGCTCTACCACCAGTAAACGCATCCTACCTACGCGGTCCTACCATCTTCAACGCAAATGCCGCCACCCACCTTGAGATGTGAGTTCCAAGGTCTGAATATGGTTACAACGGCTGCCCCACCCTTCAAACCGAAACGCATTAAGTACAGCAAGTAATCATCGATCGAAGGTAATGTAACATTTCGGATTGTAACAATAGAGAACTGGCGTGACGTCATTTGGGGTCATTTATAATCGATGCCTTTTGGATTCTATAGATGATATTTATACGTCGGAGACGGTCATTACTTTCGTAGCTAAACGAAACGCAGCACGGTTCCCAAGAGATGGCAGCACGATCGCGGTATCGTCAGAACTTGCTAACGTCAAGAGAAGATTTCTAAATTGTTCTAAGACAGCAAACATGATTGGCGTACTCAATATTTCTCTTGGCTCAATCACCCTATTCACCCCTACGATGTCTGACGATGGTGTTAATAATTGTGGTCTCTCCGACATATTTATAACAGAATTAGCCTGGGCATTTATTTTGCGAAATGCACTAGAAAATGTAATATATTTATTCCTGATTATATTTCTCTTTTAGACTAACCAGAACAAAGTACGCCTTGTACGTAAAACAGCGCGGTTCTGTACGCGTCGGCTAGATACTTCGTGTCTTCCAGAATGTTCGCGCGACCTTTGTACAAGTTGACACAGCCGGCGTCTAGCATATCTGTAGAGCATTACAATACATTTAAATTATCACTAAGCATATCAACGTTCTAAGATGAAAGAATATTAAACTAAATTACTGAAATTGAAGAGCATTGTAAAATATGTTGTCATTACGTACCACAATTACACATTAAGACATTTGAAGCGCTTACCGCACAAATCTAGTTGTCCCGCTCGCACCTGGCACATGACCATAACGAGAACGGCGACGACAGCGCTGCGTCCCGCTCCCGCGCCGCACTGTATCCACGCGCCGCACAGTTGATTGCACAGACGATTTTCATAGGTTTGACTCAGAATTTTATCTACCAGAAGCACTAGGGGTGAGCAAACAATTCTGCAACAAAAATAAACAATATATATATATATATATATATATATATATATATATATATATATATGTGGGATTTTAAATTCAGGGTGGGCCAATGAAACGCTCGATTACTCCACAAAAACTTGATGCTTTATTTCGTCTTATTATAAGTAACTCCAATACAAACGTCTTTCGCCTTCTGGGTTACACTCCGTCTGAGCGTCGTCGCGTCCGGCAACTACTCTCCTGTTGCTTATGAAAAAAAACTAGGTGTTCCGCATTCATTCGCCACCTTTCTTACTTCCTAATACGACATCTATCTCTCTCACTCAGTCATGCTCCTTATCTGTCATTCATACATATCGCTCCGTTCCGTTCCTACATATATATATATATATATCGACGCAACATTTCTATTTAGTTAACTAAGATTAGTTAAACTTAACTGTCTCCTTAATATTAACATAGTTTGTTGACTTTTGTAAGTCCAACGCGTGTAAACAATTGTTTAAGACGATTTTTATAAGCATATTATCTATTGTCGCACAAAGAGCCATTTTGATAAAGCGGGACGACACGAGAACCCTTTCATCGTGGCCGCCGGTAATTACATAGCCGATCCTGCGGACCAAATGGTAAGCAGTCGACGTCTCCCAAAACACGTCATCTCGGAACCTCCCGATCCACTAACGGTGCTTTTAGGTACCTCAAGCACCGGTCATCGTTTTCGTCAAACCCGTCGCTTGCGACGAAGGGCTCGGCGAGTAAATTAACTCACAGACACAGTCCACTGAGTTTCTCGCCGGATCTTCTTAGTGGGTCGCGTTTCCGTTCCAGTGGTAGATTCTGTGAAGCACAGCTCTTGCTAGGGTTCGTGTTAGCAACGACGGTTTAAGCTCGGTGAGCTCACCTACTAGGCTGATGACGCTGACATGGTCTTTGTAGACGGTCAGCTTAGGTAGAAAAAAAAAAACAACACCCTCGAGACTGAACTTATCCGAAGCCCCGAAGCAGATAAGGTTCCCGCGGTCGCCACTACAGTTGCAACTCACTTGGCAGGGAACACGTTGATCTGGTAGTGCATGACGGTGTGCACGCTACCGCCGCCGCCGACGCGCAGCCTCCGCTCGGTCCAGTGCACGGTGCAGCTCACTTCCTCCAGCAGCACCTTCAGGCCGTACAGCTCCAGAGACTGTCCCTTGGCCGTCGGCCAGTACGACTTTCCTTGCAGCTGTTGAAAAAAAACAATTTTCGAATTTGCAAACATTTTGGATATCTTCTTCTTCCTTTCTTATAATATACCATCTGCTGGGGTGTAAGGCTCGAATCAAATCCTCGCATTTACATCGGTCTGGGGCAGTCTGTTCTAGGTACTCCCACGGCATGCCCAAGACGACCAGCTCCTGCTCCACCGAGCGACGTCAAGTTGTTCTGGGGCGGCCTCTCTTCCTTTTGCCAGACACTTTCCAGGTCAGTGCTCTCTTGGATAGGTTTAGATATAGGAATAGAGGAGATGTATAAAATTAAGTTGTAGTAATTTCTTTTGAAAATTTATAATATAAAACAATTATCAGAAGTTTCTTTCTTTTTGATTTCACAAGACTGCACACTTCATCTGTGGCTCTCCCGGGACCAACCATGAAGTTTAATTTGATATATAAAAAGTTTGCATAATGCTACCTTGAAATGTAGCTCTTGGTTAATCGTCTTAAGTAAATTAATAATTACGTAATCGAAAATATAATGCATGCAAAATATAATGCATAGTTGATAAGATTTTATATTTTGCAAACTTAAAATAAAATCTGACCGACGTTAAACTAATTTAAAAGCTCACCTCAATCTCACTCAGTAAACACACGATGCAACTGATTTTATTTTCTAATACTGACTTCCAGAAGATTCCATATTCATCTTCACTTGGATTTTTAGAGATCACTAAGGGTATACACCATGAGGCTAATTGCTGTAAGAACACAAAAAAACAATTACTTTCTAAGCCAGCTTCCATGAAACGTACCAAGGGAAAATGGATCTTCGAATCTCAGCAGAGCACTTTATAAAATACAGATAGCATTTGGTAACTGAGAGGATATACCAAGACTTAACTATTACTTTATCATATTTTAAAACAAAAATATATTTTAAATTAAATTCAAATAACACAAAAGCATAATTTGCTCAACACATATGTGTATAGTCTTTACATTAATACGTGAAGCAAAAATTTAGTTCCCTTTTTTTCGAAGATTGCGCGAACGGAGGACTATGCCATTTTCCACACTTATAGAGAATATAGAGGAGTGCAGAATGGTTTTTTTTTATTATTCATAAACAATACTTTAAATCAGTAAAAAAACTTTACACACACTACCAATTATTTGACACACACACACACACTCTTTGGCTTATTGTTAAAACCAGTTGTTTAATTGAGAATAGATTGTTTGTCCATAGCGTAGCCTTAACGAAATCTATAATTGGAGATATCTATATAGTCTTTTTTTTTATTGCTTAGATGGGTGGACGAGCTCACAGCCCACCTGGTGTTGAGTGATTACTGGACAGACATCTACAACGTAAAAGCCGCCACCCACCTTGAGATATGAGATATGAGTTCAAAGGTCTCAGTATAGTTACAACGGCTGCCCCACCCGTCAAACCGAAACGCATTACTGCTTCACGACGAAAATAGGCAGGGTGATGGTACCTACCCGTGCGGACTCACAAGAGGTCCTACCACCAGTAATGACGCAAATTATAATTTTGCGGGTTTGATTTTTATTACACGATGTATAGATTAATTGTGGTCGAATTTCAACCAATGGGCGCCCGCTAATGTAGTATAATACTACATAATACAATAAATATGATGATACCTTGTAATGAGAGGCGTTTATGTAAGCGTCCGGGTCGGACTTGAGCGTCAGGCGCGAGTCGTCGAAGGGCACCACCTCCGTCACAATGTTCCCGCGGCTGTGTTTCATCGCTATCGTTTTAGACCTAGTCATGTTTTCCTTCAGCTGAAATACGATCCAAATTAAATCATACTAACAAATTCTTTAAAAATACGTTAAAATCTTAACATACTATCGCACCTTTAGAATTGAAGTGGTTTAAATAAAAATTTAAAGAAAATGTGTCTTATACTTCGAGGGACTTATAAAGACGTATTATATCGGTTTATAAAATTAAGTAATCTCTTTATTCCGGAAAAAAAAAACATACTCATTCCGTCTCTTTTAAAGCAAGCGCATACCTTAAAATTATAAAATTATAATTCTTCAATTACTAAAAGACAAAAAAATTTGGATTAAGCCACTTCAATTCTAAAGGTGAGATATACTTATTGACTAATAGATGGTGTGTATAGTTTTGTCTGAAGTTTACCATCGTCTTGGTAATTTCTGCAGTGAAACTTTGTGGTTAGTAGGGCAGTGCATTAGTACAAAGCCATTCAGATTTCAACCTTATAATAAATATGCCGATGGGCGATGTTCCCGTATCACAGCATCGACACCCCAACCAGTAGCAGATTACTTGTAAGCCTTTCTGTTCGCTTATACAAGGCTAAAATATCTATATATGTATGTATATTCTAATTCTCTTTTCGTTATTCTGTTTGTTGGTATGGCCACTTTTCGATCTGTGGGGAATTATATCACACAGACAAACATCAAGTGTCTACTCTTCCCTCCCTCCCTCTACTAGTTCTACTGCGCTGTCGCTATGACCTCGAAGCTGGTAGCTCAAACAATAAACACCGCCATGCATCCCAATCTAGGGTCAACGGAACACCTGCTGCGAAGCGGTTACCAAGTCCCTACATAACCCTGTTTTAGTCTCATATTACGCCGTACCTTTTGAAAGGCTATAATTTATTAAAATAACTTACTTGTACGTCTTGATACATTTTCCATTTTGAATCCAACAGCGTCAGTCCACTGGGAGTTCTGTTGGTCAGCGAATCCACCAATCTCTGCAAGTTCTTCACTTCCTGCGTGAACTGGTTGAGTAGACTGGGGTCCGAGAAGACATCTCTCTTGGCCGGTCGGACGAGCGCTTCTTCTTTGGGAGCCTTCGCTGGCTCTGGTTTAGGAAGCACCTGCTTCCGTATGGCACTTTCGGATATTTGTGGCACTTTTATCTCGGGCATCAACGGTTTTTGTTCAACCGTAAAATCTATGTCCGATAGAAGATCGAATACGGAAATTTCCGGCTTTGGCTCGATTTCCTCGATCGGATTCTCCGCAACTTGTTCTGTAGTCTGTACCGGTGTTGGAACGGTTTCTTGGACCGAGACGTCGTTACTCTGTGGAGCCTGCAGCGCCTCCACTGTATCACGCGATTCAGTTGACACTCCAATTGGTTCAGTCGATTGAACATCATTCTCTTTTTGCGAAAAAACTGAAACGGAAATAATTAAAATAAAAAAACCGTCATATTTACAATATGTTTATTCATAAATAATATATTTATACATTGTTATTTTAATTCAAAGCAACAAGTCCTTACCTTGATTACTGGTAAATGTAACGCTGGTATCGTGACCTTGACCGGACTGCATGTAAGTCGACTGATTGACGTTGGCGCCATAGTTGGTCCCGATCGTTTGCGGAGTGGCGACCATTTCATTCGACTGGTTAGTGGTCGTTATGTACCCGTACGGCGCATTGTAATACTGATTGCTGTTCTGTTCTTGGGTCGGAGCTTGGGGGACTTGCGTTTCAGAGGGGGACTGCACGGTGTGGCATCCGCCGGCGCTGGTGTAGCGCTGTCCGGCCCAATTCGAGTCGTTGTGCACGGTCTGAGGGTCCACATTCCCTTGGTGGTTTGCGTACGAGTTTTGCGAACCGTAATTGTATTCGTAATTACCGGTAGCCTGGTTGAGTGTATAGCCCGGATGATTTTGGTAGGTCTGGCCGTAATTAACTTTGCTTTGGTCCTCGTAGGTGCTCGTCGGCTGGTAGCTTTGCACGTTTGGATTTTGGAAATTCTGAATATTGCTGTAATTCTGTGTGTTATAGTTCGACTGGAAACTAGACGAGAGAGCTTCACCCGTCACGTGCGATTTGATCGGTTTATCGAACGCGTCCATCTGCGCTAAAGCGGGGTTGTATACCTCAGCCTCGGGTGGGTACGTGTAAGGCAGTGACGTCACTGTGCTAGTGACGTTTGTCGTCGACGTGTTCGCGCCGGTCGCGATCGTTTGCGTCGCGTAGTGTTGGGACGCGCTGTCGAGCGAGCTCGTGACGTAGCTATACGGTTGTTCCGGCACACTGTAGGGTGCACTGACGCTGTACTGGACCGACTCGGTGCTGTATTGGTAACTAAGAGAGCTGTAGTCCGTCGGAAGCTGTGAGCCCGGAGCGGGCACGCCCGTGTTCAAACCGGCGTTATACGCAACACTGGGCGTGGACGATTGCGGGTACTGCATGTAGTAACCGTGCGAGGGATCTACAGACGGTTCAGACTTTGGAGCGTTTATATGCATTTGTGCAAAATTCACATTCAAATCTGTCTGGTTATTCGCGTAAGCCTGGTTAGCAGAAGCGTAAGTATTGGAGCCGTGACTCGAGGCCACAGACTGAACATTCTGCGCGTAAGGGTCATTGTAGACTGGATATTGAATATTTGGATTCGTGCTCATGTTGGGTGGTTGGTTGCTATATTGCACGGATTGCGGCTCCGACACGGACGCGGCGCTGTTCTGGGGCGTGCTGTAATAAGGGCCGGTATACACTTGCTGCGGGTCTGGTATCTGAGGCGGATATTGTTGCGTGTGCGGATTGTACGCGGAGTTATCCTTGTCGTACGGTTTCTCGGCGGCCGGGTAGGCATAGTTCTGGGCATAAGAGGTTTCGGGCATGATGTTAGGGTTGTAACGGTCGGTGAATGAAGTGTTCTGAGCTTGAGACATCAGAACTCCGTCGGGGAGCTGCATCTGTGCCACGTCTGTAGCTGGAAGAAACATTAAAGAAACCATCAAATAGCGTCTCCTGGAACAACAAGTTTTTCTGTTTATTGCCTTTATATTCCGATTATTTCATGATCATAAGATTTTTACAACAATCGAGACTCCTACAGACCCCTGAAGATCCACCTAAACACCTTTGGGAACTAAATATCTAGTTGCTCTAACGAGAAATCCAACAAAATTCCTATAATGCTTATTGAGTGCCAACCCTATAATAGAAAGTAAAATAATGTATTTCTGAGTGCTAGAGCCCTAAAATAGAATATCGAAAAATAAAATTGGTAACGCAACTAATTTAAAACTACCGTCTAAAAGTGGGAGCTGCTAGAAAGGGACAAAACACTACCCACTACCCACGTGGACGTACAATAGTTACACAAACTCACCCTCAGAGCCAACAGGCGCCGGTCTTACGGAGGGGAGGTACATCGTTTCCGGATAGTACGTGTCTGGCGGGAAGGCTTCCATTTGAACTGAAACAATTAATTTTACGTATTTCAATTCTGTCGATATTTTTTTTCAATCATCTCACAACTCTTTTGGTTTCGTTCAGTAAGGATGGGTGAGCTAACATAAAAGGCAATGTTAATAATATTATTGCTATATTTATTATTCCGTCGGCAGACGACTCTACTAGCCAAATGTTTACCAAGACGAATAGATAAAAAATAAGACAAAATGCTCTGATACAAATCCTAATAACAGTTATGGATCTTTTGTTTTTATATTGCTTTGATGGGTGGACGAGGTCATAGCCACCTGATGTTAAGTGGTTACTGGAGCTCATAGACATCTACAACGTAAATGCGCCACCCACCTTGTGAAATAAGTTCAGAGGTCTCAGTATAGTTACAACGGCTGCCCCATCCTTCATACCGAAACGCATTACTGCTTCACGGCAGAAATAGGCAGGGTGATGGCACCTATCCGTGCGGACTCACAAGAGGTCCTACCGCCAGTAATGACGTCACGTATTGAGAATTTGAGATTTGCATTCAATCGATATTAACCTGGAGGGCCTGTGTTTCTAGGATTGCTCCTGTTCTTCATATAAGGCAGGTAGTCCTTCAGCTTCCGGGGCGCTCCGGTGGGCGGCAGGCCGGCCACGTCTGGGACTTTGGGCGCCGCCGCGGCGGGTGCGGCCGGGCCTGGCGCTGACGTCACAGCTGCAAGGGAATTATGGCGGCTCATGTGGTATACTTTACGAGGAAGGAAAGATCTTCCACCGAGCGGGTGATTGTGCTCGGTAGATCGACGGTCCGAATGTTGTTGTTCGGAACTTGTATAAATGCAAGCTTATCTTGAAAATGTCAGGCATCTGTCAAATACCTTGTGTACTGTGATGGCTACCACCACTCTTACATTATCAGACACACTGAAAACGATTCCCACACGACCTTAGCTCACGGGCTGACAGACCAGGGGAACTGTGGAGTCCAGTGGAGCTTAGTTCGATTTCGATTTTTTTAACGTTCTCGATAGCGTAAAAGTTTACTTACTAATTTGTATGGATTTGGAACGTTTGCCTACGTTTGCCGCTAGGGGCGCTGTTCCAACGGCATACAAATTTCAGTTAATTTTTACGCGATCGAGAACGTTAAAAAACTCGCACTAAGCACACTGGTAGGGCTGGTACTCCCACAGACACAGCCCACTGAGTTTCTCGCCGCTGGGGTTCGTTTTAGCAACGTCGTCAGGTTTGAGCCCCGTAAGCTCACCTACTGGTTAAGGTTACTCTAAAATAGCCTCTCAAGGCCATCAGCTTAGGTAGAAAAAAAAACAAAAAAGGCTGTACTGTTATTTACAGGACACAATCAATAGTGTTGACTATACAATGCAAGTATACCTTTAGTGTTCTGTTTGGAGAGCAGCTGCGCGCGCTCCTCCTCCTGCACCTGACACGTGCTCTTCAGTCTGGACAGCAGCTGGTTCACGTTGTGCGATAGCTTCTTGTAGAACTCCTGGCCTTTCTGGGACTTTCTCAGCAACTCCTCGTACGTGTCGTATGACGTCACTAATGCTGTATTAACGTTACGCTATGCATTATGTAACGCAGAGAAAATATCTCGTATTATTATTGCTTATTGTAACTATACTTGACACTTAGAACTTATATCTCAAGGTGGTTGGCGCATTTACGTTGTAGATGTCTATGGGCTCCAGTAACCACTTAACACCAGGTGGGCTGTGAGCTGCTCCACCCATCTAAGCAATAAAAAAAAAATTCGTGAACCCGCAATGAACAGCAAACGCTACTGCCGCTCGGCACCTTTTTGTTAATGCTTAGATGGGTGGACGAGCTCACGGCCCACCTGGTGTTGAGTGGTCATCGGAGCCCACAGACAGCTACGACGTAAATGCCACCACCCACCTCGATATACGAGTTCTAAAGTCTGAGTATAAGTTACAACGGCTGCCCCACTCTTCAAACCAAAACGCATTACTGCTTCACGGCGGAAATAGGCGGGGCGGTGGTACCTACCTACGTGCGAACTCACAACACGTCCTACCAGCAGTGAATATGTTACATCAGTAGAGTGTATACGGACCGTTGATGAGGCCATCTCGTTTCCTCAGCACCTCGGACAGCAGACGCCGCGAGTCTCCGTACGACGCGTACAACGACGTTAGCTTGTTTATAATATTCTCTTGAGCTCCCAAATTCTGTTCGAGGATCTTTACCTAATTAAATAGAAAAAAAAATTTTGGCTGTCTGTAAAGTCGGTTTACGGACGATAGTTTTACGTGATAACGTCACTAGCAGAACTAATCGAACTGCTAGCTGACGCCACGCGAGAAAGAGATAAATGTGTCACAAGCCAACGCTTGGGCCGATCGTGCCTTTCTATCGCTTGTTCCGCGCTCTCAGGCGGAACGTGACACTTTTTCATACGTACAGCTATTGTTCATCGATTTATAAGACGTTATCACATCAAAAAAATGATGATCGACAATTTTTTAAAGTAAAATCTATGGAGGGAATATATCTATGGTATGGAGGGAAGTAAGGAGGATTATTTTGTATAGGGGACAAGTTAAAAAGTGTCCACCTGTAAACGGCAAGTTACAGTTCGAAGAATCACCGAAATATTGTTAGTGTAGGAAGTGGAAACGATATGAGTATAACAGTTTTAAACGGAGTTAAGTGTGGTAGTTTATGGTGGGGTTTTTAAAATATTTTCATTTGTTACTATGGTGCCACGTCAATTTTCTTAGTTTCAGCGGGCACTTACAATACAATGAGATGGTGGTTCTTATTTTTACCCTCCATAATAAAATCAAACGATTAGAACATTCTAACATAGGTTGACAGTTTATAAACAAAAATTGAACTGAGTAAACGTGATATTTAATTTAATAAGACTCGGCGGTGCAATAGTTAGCACCCATAGCTGCTGGGTCGAGCGTCGTGGGTTCGGTTCCCAGGTCGGCCAAACATTCGCGTGATGAACAAGTTTATTTGCTCTATAACTATTTGTCTAATATATAACGATGTATGTATATCGGTCTCTTTAACATAGTACAGGAATGGTTTAGTGTCAATTTTTTACAGCAATGTCCACTCATTCTGCTGTAACAGTGTGGCGATAAAAGATTTATGAATAACAAGGCATCGAACCGTGGGCGCATGTTTTTCGATTTCTCGTTTGAAGAGGTCCTCGGGCGGCTCGTTGGTGACGAGCAGCAGGGCGGTGACGTCGTCAGCGGCCACGGCGTCCCGCAGCTGCTGCACCAGCGCGTCCCGCTGCGCCTGCATCTCGCGCGCCTTGCCCACCACGCGACGCATCTCCGACATCGTCTCGCGGTCCAGACCTTCTGATATAGCCAAATAGCGAGGCCATCACTACAACTGGTATATTAAATAGTAGCAGTCTTTTTTTTATTGCTTAGATGGGGGACGAGCGCACAGCCCAACTGATGTTAAGTGGTTACTGGAGCCCATAGACATCTACAGCATAAATGCGCCACCCACCTTGAGATATAAGTTCTAAGGTCTCAAGTATAATTACAACGGCTGCCCCACCCTTCAAACCGAAACGCATTACTGCTTCACGGCAGAAATAGGCAGGGCGGTGGTACCTACCCGACCTCACAAGAGGTCCTACCATCAGTAAATGCCCAAGAAAATCTACGCCACACTATACCATCACACCACAATATCCCCAAAACTTGTTCAACGTCATTTTTAAAAGCACCTCGGTAACAATCTATTTATAAATAGACAAAGACAAAAAAGTAAGTTGAATTTTCTCAATTTTGTTTTGTAGAACAGTTCATTAGTTGTTTTTATTTTTATTGCCTTTGTAGGCAGTCGAGCATACGGCCCACCTGATGGTAAGTGGTCACCGTTGCTCATGGACGTCAGCAATGCCAGGGGCTGAGTCAAGCCGCTGCCTACCATTAAGTACTCTCCGCAAACCTCATTCGAAGAAGGACATGTTATAGCGCTCGGAAAACAAAGTGGAATGGAAGTTCATTCCAATGCCGGATGGTACGAGGCAAAAAAGATCTTTGGAAACGCACTGTCGATGAATGCAGTTGTATTTATTAATGCTCATTAGTTCTATTAGATTACTATTTCTTAATAAATTTTTTTAGGGAATATAGGGGTTTTTAAATGTCTATAACGAAACAAAAGAGAACATGTAATAAATAAAATGAAACCTCAAAATAAAAAACTAAATTCTGAATTTCTCAACTGACCAATATTGTCAATGCTTGGTATCTTGTCTTGCAGCACGTCCAAAGGTTGGGCCAACAGTTTGAGGTTGGCGATGTGTAGCGTCATGGCCTTGTGCAACACTTGGTTGCTCTCGTTGGTCCTTGTGTGTGCTTCTTGGTACTTGTGATATTCCCGAGATAGTTCTGTTTGAACGATAGATGGCGGTCGTGGACCCATTAACTTTTGGAATTCTTTCTCTTTCATTGTTTCCTCCTGTTACGAAAAAAAAAAACGTGTTTAAGAAACAAAAGCTCATAATAATGTATTCGTAACCTTCATTCGCAATTAACAAGGTGTATTTTCAAATGAAGAATAGAATTTGCATCATATCATAAACCAATATTTGCAAATCAACAAGTAGCAGTCCCTACCGCGACGAATTAGTTTATGCATTAGTAAAGTTCAACCACTCCATTGGTTTTTACAGATAAGTGTTTTTTTTTTGGTTTATCGATATACACAATAATCAGTAACCAATTTCACTACATCACTAAATACAAATAAAATTTGTTTAAAAGCAACTAATTAAAAAAAATCTACTAACAAAGTACTGCATTTTGCTGCTTCTAAAGAATGCAATGAGTGAACAATAAGATCGTCAACTTTCCCTCACCTGTATGAGATTTTTTATTTCTCCCAACGAGTGTTCCACGTCGCTGATAGTTTCGGCCAGACTGTTCATCGAATCAACTAGTGACTGTATTATTTCCGACTTGGCATTCATCGCCGCACACCGGTCGACTATATCTTGGGGCACCCTAAAGTTAATAAGGATTTTTTATATCTTTCTATATACTAAGCCATTGTGGCTTAAAGGGTAAAACGACGCTGGTATCACACTACCACACAGGTACCACAGGTATTTCTGAGGAGAAGCAGGCCAGTACATAATGTAAGGATGAAGAGCTCACAGCCCATATGGTATTAGGTGATCATCGAAGCCGGCATTACTACACTTACATTAGGGTCTGTAGCATAACTCAGGTAAGTCCACCCACATAATTTCGGTAGAAAGTCTTCTTACTTTTGTTCCGAATCCAGCACATCGAGCTGATCGAGTTGCAGTGACGACATAAACTCCGTTAACTCGGTGTTCTTGGCGTCGATCTGGGTCATCACGTGCCGCAGCAGCTTCGCCTTCTGCTCGGAGTACACCGAGGACACCTCGTGTGCCGCGATCGGCACTAGGCGAGCGAATAGGTCCGAACCTGACAACTGACAAATAAATATGTTTATGATACAGCTATTAAATCACGGTAACGCTTCTCTGTCAATATTGATTAACTAGCTGTAGCCGTCCACTTCGCTGGACATTTAAAATTAACATTATTATTTCTCACCCCCACGAAGATTCTCATCATTCACGCCCCAGTTACTGGTGTAGAAAGTCCAACACTCATATAAATATTAGCCTATCCATTAAATGTATTTTCTACATGGATACCAAGTTTCAAGTCAATCGGATGCATGGTTCAGTAGTTATAACGGAACATTCGTAAAAACCACTTTAGATTTAGGTACATTGAGGGTACATCGAAAACTATCAATCAAGAAGTTTCAACAACAATTGTACATATTCAACGTTTTAGATATGTTTAAAAGCCCACTCACTACCACCCACCATCAAGTTAGGCAGTATGCTCTTCTGCCTACAAAGGCAATAAATAAAAAATGTTTTCCAGATATTACAAATAGTTTTAAACGTAAAGCAAACATTATCACATTTGATAGTTTTAATATTAGATTATGCCATTGTTTTTTAACATTGTATTCAAATTTAAACAAAAAAATCCAAAGCTTCTGCAACACTATAATATAATATGTTCTTTAGGTGAAGTTTGAAAAGTAGCAGCCAGGCATTTCTCGTCTCTATGAGCCATGTCTCTGCAGTAGTAACAGCTTATCATCAAAAGGATGTTAAGCTGCTCTGTTGTAATTCAGCATTAAGTAATAGAAAAAAATCTTCACGAATAATTACCTCAGGATCATTAAAGTTAATTGGCAATGGTTTCACCAAACACACTGGTTTCAGTTCCGTTAACATATCCTTGTCAGGAACCTCCTCATGATAAATAAATTCATTTTCGTTCTTGGCTGCTTTCTTTTTGCCTTCGATAACGTCGTTCATAAAGTTCAAAGCTTCCAAAATCACCTAACAATTTAAGGTATATTAAAAAAACACACACAGTAGTGTATTAGTGACGGTATCATTATCATATCATCAATGATATGCAATCGCAAAGCCGATTTTCATGTTTTAGGTGAAGAACAAGAATAAGAACCATCTTATACTTGATATTGGCACTTACTATCGACCCCGCTAATGAGAATCCAAAGAAACGAAAATTAAAATTATTTTCCTCGTAAATAGTCATATGTAGTACTAATAATCTACGAAAATTCGAATATTCTTTGGTCTGATGACGTACAAGTGCAGTATAGTTTTTTCAAATGTATGTTTTCATGTGTTACTAACAGTTTGTTAAGGGACAATTAGTAATATCAACTTTTCAGTTTTATTAGAAATCTAAAGTTTGAGCCGATGATATTCTGACACCGAAAATGATAAAAAAAAATTTAAAGTGTGTGTTCTATTAACTATCAATGTCAACACTTTTTCTGTTCAGTCTGATTACAACAATGTCACCAATAAATAAATACAAATTACCTTGTTGGAGTCCATGTTTTTGGCAATTTTCCTGGCTTCTGCCAGTTTTTCAGCTGCCAGTTGATAAAAGGCAACTCTCTCACCCATTTTCTGCTGCTCTTCAGCATGCATTCCTGAATCAAATTAAAATAACTTGAGCTGTTGGTACTTATAATAGTCTAGAAGTGGTCACTACCATTAAATTTTACTTTATAATTAAATTATTTTTTTAAATAATTTCATATTCACATATTTGATTTCATTTGGAAGTGTATGCCCTCTGGGAGAGCATGAAAAAGCACAAGAATTTCTTCAAAGTACAATAAAATTAATCATGCCGGGATGACTAATCAACATTATACTATGCTTCTTCTGTAATTCTTTATTTTACATTATTATAGCTTAGACTCTGTTTATAGATTAAGCCCTATAGATGTCTTTTTAATATTTTTTTTGTTTTCTTTCTTTCTTCTTTTTTTTATGTGTAATATGAATTTCAAAAGCATTTGCGCTACTATAATATTTCCTATCAGTGTACACTACGACCGACGTAACTTGGCGAGTCTGAATATAGCCGCAGGTCAACTTTCGCGCATGTACACTCGTAAAAAAAAGTGTTATTAGCATTCATTTTTTTAAATCAAAATACGAATTAAAATTTCCATATACAGGGACCAAGTACAAATAAAATGAATATCAAAACACTATGAGAGAGAAAGCTATAAAAATAACGTAATAAATTAAAGAGANCAGCAGCCCGGCGTCACCTGCGATAACGCGGCCGCGCGTTGGCTCCTGATTGGCGCGCGCACGCATCACGCAATCAGGAGCCAATCAGGCGCATAACGCATTTCGTGTGACATGCTAGTACGATTTTGGTCCCCATAATTTTCATACCCCGGGCCTATATATGTAAATCGATTCTAAAGGAGTAAACTCCAAAAATCTTCACGAATAATTACCTCAGGATCATTAAAGTTAATTGGCAATGGTTTCACCAAACACACTGGTTTCAGTTCTGTTAACATATCCTTGTCAGGAACTTCCTCGTGATAAATAAATTCATTTTCGTTCTTGGCTGCTTTCTTTTTTCCTTCGATAACGTCGTTCATAAAGTTCAAAGCTTCCAAAATCACCTGACAATTTAAGGTATATTAAGAAAACACACACAATAGTGTATTAGAGACTGTATCATTATCATATCATCAATGATATGCAATCGCAAAGCCGATTTTCATGTTTTAAGTGAAGAACAAGAATAAGGACCATCTTATACTTGATATTGGTACTTACTATCGACCCCGCTAATGAGAATCCAAAAAAACGAAAATTAAAATTATTTTCCTCGTAAATAGTCATATGTAGTACTAATAATCTACGAAAATTCGAATATTCTTTGGTCTGATGACGTACAAGTGCAGTATAGTTTTTTTAAATGTATGTTTTCATGTGTTACTAACAGTTTGTTAAGAGACAATTAGTAATATCAACTTTTCAGTTTTATTAGAAATCTAAAGTTTGAGCCGATGACATTCTGACACCGAAAATGATAAATAAATTTTTAAAGTGTGTGTTCTATTAACTATCAATGTCAACACTTTTTCTGTTCAGTCTGATTACAACAATGTCACCAATAAATAAATACAAATTACCTTGTTGGAGTCCATGTTTTTGGCAATTTTCCTGGCTTCTGCCAGTTTTTCAGCTGCCAGTTGATAAAAGGCAACTCTCTCACCCATTTTCTGCTGCTCTTCAGCATGCATTCCTGAATCAAATTAAAATAACTTGAGCTGTTGGTACTTATAATAGTCTAGAAGTGGTCACTACCATTAAATTTTACTTTATAATTAAATTATTTTTTTAAATAATTTCATATTCACATATTTGATTTCATTTGGAAGTGTATGCCCTCTGAGAGAGCATGAAAAAGCACAAGAATTTCTTCAAAGTACAATAAAATTAATCATGCCGGGATGACTAATCAACATTATGCTATGCTTCTTCTGTAATTCTTTATTTTACATTATTATAGCTTAGACTCTGTTTATAGATTAAGCCCTATTTTTGTGTTAATCTTTTTATTGTTTTCTTTCTTTCTTCTTTTTTTTATGTGTAATATGAATTTCAAAAGCATTTGCACTACTGTAATATTTCTTATCAGTGTACATATACACTTCAAGACACTTCATTCCTTTGATATAAACAATCTCTTATCTAATTAGTTTCTAGTTACAATATTACAAAAATTGTACATATTGAATTACAAAAACAAATATTGATGCATAGTTATGAAATTTCCAAATATATTTTGACAGTTTATTTTATGCATCTCCTATTTACCACCTATAAACAGATTGTATTGTACACCATTAAGCCTATAAAAGTACAAATTTTCTAATAATTATTCTTACCTTGATACAGACAGGCAATAGATCCAACAAAGGACATTTTAAAAGAAAGGGACCGATACCAATAGTTGTACAGGGTTATACCAACAACTTCATAAACATTTTCTGAACCAGTGGACGGTCCAAGTAAAGCCAGAGCATTTTTGCAGAATAAAACAACTTGTATTGCTACTGCTCCTGAAATTTAAAATTCATGATTTCAAATAACTAGGTATAAGACAGGCTGCTATAAATTTGAAAGTGTACACACACCAACAAAATCAAACCTTACTTTCAATTCACAGATAATAACCTGAAGCAGTGATTCGAGTAAAAAAAACATCATTGTTTATAATCAAAACATGGTGATGATTCATCAACATAATAATATGTTATCTACAACAATACTTTTACTATACATGTTTAAGATATGTTTTGTAGTGTATACTTAACAAGTGGACTTCAACTTTAATGTATTCTTATTTTGAGTTCACAAATATTCCTCAAACAACTGGTCTTCTATAAAATTACAATAATTACCAATAACACGGGGCTTTCTTGTATCTTGTATACTCTTCTCTAGAATACATTGCTGGGCTTGACCCAAGCAAATTTCCTGGAGAAGTCTCATTATTTCTGAGGAAATATCAACACCTGGAGGTTGAGTAAATTGCTCTCTCAAGAGCTGAAATGAGTATGCAGCATGCTGGAAGTGAGTGCAAGTGGCTTTCAGGCTTTCAGCTGTGGTACGAGGCTCCATTGCGCCAAGTTCTGTATTTAGGGCACCAATATTGTAAAGAATACATCCTAATTCAAACCTAGCAGATGCTGAGGTACAATTCATACTGGCGTAGAGATCCTTCCTGTTAAGAAATAAATAGATTAACAAGAAAATTATTTTTACTAAAGGTAGGAATAGTGTAAAGTGTAAAGAATCAAGAATATTGAACAATGCATAAAGATAATAATCTTCTTTAGGTGAATCAATGATTCATACATTTTTAACCAATCAAGTCAACTTAAGCTAATTAGATTACCTACCAAGTGAAATTGCAAGCCGCCGGCTGGCCTTTGCTCATTGGGAATCGGCTTTGCATGGCACGAAGTTGGCAAAAATATCTAATTAAAGATTTCAAGCCTGCCGTATCCATTGTAGGCCTCACGGCGGCCGATCGTAGCCCTTCGAGCGAATGAATCTCATTACTGTAGCTTTCTGGATCTTCTTTATAAACTTCGGCAATGTACTAGAAAATTCCAAAGAAAAAAGTGGACAAAGAAACAACAAACAAATCTTAGCCGTAGACAGATTATAGACCTATTTACCTGTTTAAGTTTTGTTCCAAATTTTGTATTCTCTGTTGATACTTTTAATTCGAAACTGATAAGGGGTATCTTCGGTACCGCTTCCATAATTAATGGAAGCTAACTTCGATTAGAAACGTAGTTAAGGAAATTTCACTTGAACGACAATTTCATCACAAACAATTTTATCAAACTATCAGTTGCGGAGATTATTTACTTTCTTTTTTAAATTATAATGGCTTTGGCTTCAGTACCATTTGGCAAAATTTATGGAGGAATAATAGTGCCCAAAAAATCAACAAACCTTTGTTTCGTAATATTAAAATACTTTACAAAGAAAAATAATTTGTTACAAGTCATTTTAAATATTTATAATTAAAAAAAGTATAAATAAGCGAGATTTAAAACACCAATTGCAAAATAAAAAGTCGCTTCGTCCTTAATTTCCAGAAATGTTGGCTGTATAATGTAAAATCACTTTGCCGATAATATCGAAATCGAACAAAACATCTAAGTACTCTGTGAAAGCACAGATCAATGTGAAAGCGTCAGACATAGATAATACACATAATCATAGATTATACACTTAATATCACAATATAAATGAGCCTCTAATAAATGTAGGTGCATCAGATGCTAGTGAATTTTTACTATAATATGATTTGAACAAACTTACATTATGAAGCTAAAGAAAGCTAAGTCAGATACCGAGGTAAGTGAAATAATTACCGATGTTTCCTTCAAATGCCAATATCCATAACCATCTAAAGTACTTTTTAGGAAGTCATTCCACCTCAAGCCGAAATCATTGAAGCCGATCTCTACAAGAGATCGTATTTCGGTCCAGACATACCAACATTAGAGCTAGAATGCTGGGAAGAAGAACTATCAGAAGTCCAACTACAAGCATACAAAAATGCCGACGATGAGTACAAAAGTATCCAAAACAAACTGGACGATATAGTTAAGAGCACTGGCGGCCAGATTGTTTACAACGGCGATCAATTCACCGCGTATCAGTTGCTTGGAAAGTAAGTAAATACTAGATTTTTATGAATCATTTATTTCTATCTTCCTCCAGAAATAAGGTGTCTGAATCCAAACCCAATTTTTTTAATTTATTGTTTATTACACTTCATAAACATGAATGTAGATGGTATTGTCCATCAGTCAAGCAACGGTGAGAACATAGTTGGTGGATTAATTGATAAATTATTAATATACATAATTATAATTATTAAAATATTAATTGGTAAATTTTGATTCCAAATTAAATGCATAATGGAAGTATTTCAAAACCCTGCATTAGAATATATTAAAGAGATTTTAGAAATAATACAATTAGATTTTAGCTATTTCTTTATTATATTCTGATCTCACAATATAGATTAAATTAAACCAATTCCATTTAATCTACATGAAATTTATTGAATTGAACTGACTCCTGTGAGATATTAATTATAAAATGAATGAAGTCGTTGACCTTGTGTCACAAGATTGAAGCAGTCGGTTTATAAAATTCAAATTCACAAGTGTATATTTTGTATCTGTAATATTTAGTAAACAAACATACTATTCCACAAAGGTCTAAAGGTAATAATATATTTCATAAATATTTCTTTTGTGTTTAGACAACCAGCATTGAAAGACTTGGAGCGTCAAAGTGCGGACATAATAAGATCTAGATCACGTTCTATGTCTATCTCAAAGGACAGACCAACAACACGAAGAGGTAATTTTGATATTCCATTTTGATTTCTACGTAACACTTAATAGAAGGCTCATTTGGTGTAAAACAGCTGTGGTTGTGCATTGTCTTTGAAACTACCACCAATCACTTAAATGCAGTTCTGCAAAAAAATCCTGTAAATGGAATTCTGAATTGGAAAACTTATTGAAAAACCACTTTACATTTCAAATTAGTATATAGGAATTGCCGTTGCTTCTTGGATAAATGCAGGGAATGTTTGTACCAATCCAGGTGTGCTCAATATGTATGCTAATGTTATTCAGAGTAATTATACAAATTTTGTGGAGTTCCATTTTATTAAATTGTGCTGGTGTTCAATCATCTTGGTAATATTTGTGAACTAACAATACATACATTACTTAACTTTTTTTTTATTGCTTAAATGGGTGGACGAGCTCGCAGCCCACCTGATGTTAAGTGGTTACTGGAGCCCATAGACATCCACGGCGTAAATGCACCACCCACCTTGAGATATAAGTTCTAAGGTCTCAAGTATAGTTACAACGGCTGCCCCACCCTTCAAACCGAAACGCATTACTGCTTCACGGCAGAAATAGGCAGGGCGGTGGTCCCTACCCGCGCGGACTCACAAGAGGTCCTACCACCAGTAATTACGCAAATAATAATTTTGCGGGTCTGATTTTTATTACACAATGTTATTCCTTCACTGTGGAAGTCAATCATGAACATTTGTTGAGTACGTATTTCATTAGAAAAATTGGTACTCGCCTGGGATTCGAACACCGGCGCATCGCTCAACACGAATGCACTGAAGAACCAAAACAGTAAAATGATTACTTAGAGTATTAACTGTCACTTCAAGAATTATAAAATCGTCTGGCACTTCAAATCTTAACGAAATAAAATTATCTTTACTTTGTAATTTTCAAGAAATTCTTTAATTTTAATGTATTTAAATAAAAATGGTTAAAGCTGTCATCGAGCACGGCAAATGTACCCTACATTTCATAGACCCTATTGTACCCACCATTACATTACTACATGACTAAATTGACATAAATTCAAGGGCGGCTCATACTTCTTGCCTTAAAGCAGCCAACACAGCTAAACTGCTGCTGAATATACTATTCCTAAATACCGAAACTTTAAAGTTAAAGTTTAAATGTAGTTAGCTTAACGTTAGTTTAAAGTTGAAGTAACTTAAAGTTAGTTTCATTTGCCATTACCTTACATATTGAAGAACTTCATCTTCAAGAATTATAAACTGTGAATGTTTGTAAACTTTTCATTCTAGGACGTCAGAAGAGGACTCGTGGTGAAGAAAAATACCATTCTCCTTCACCAGAAAAAACCAAATCTCCTGAACCGAAACACAAGAAAAAGAAGAAAGATAAAGAGAAGAACAAAGAAAAGGACAAGGAAAAAGAGAAAGAAAACACAAAGACTAAAGACAAGACACTTGCACCTTCCAGTAAGTTTCAAGAGAATTAATTGATTTGAAGGACGTATTTTAGGACGCTTTCCGGGTCATCGTTCTCGTCGAACCCGTTCTTTGCAACGAAGGGCTCGGCGAGTAAATTAACCCACAGACACACCCCACTGATTTTCTCACCGGATTTTCTCAGTGGGTCGGGTTTCCGATCCGGTGGTAGATTCTGCGAAGCACGGTTCTTGCTAGTGTTCGTGTTAGCAACATCGTCAGGTTTGAGCTCACCTATTAACTCGGCGAAGCTGACATGGTCTCTGTAGACCATCAACTTAGGTATGAAAAAAAGGACGATTTTTAAGGAAATCATCCTACGTATTTTTTAAGTTATACTTCTTTAGGCGCGTTATGAAAAATTGATGAGAGTGAAATTTTACGATGTGCGCGCACCGTGACACAAATTTAACAGAAATGAAGTTGCCCACTAAATCGCTCATTACAATACGACCGACGTAACTTGGCGAGTCTGAATATGAACATTCGCGCATGTACACTCGTAAAAAAAAGTGTTATTAGCATTCATTTTTTTAAATCAAAATACGAATTAAAACTTCCATATACAGGGACCAAGTACAAATAAAATGAATATCGAGACAGAAAGCTATAAAAATAACGTAATAAATTAAAGAGAGATAATAAAAGAATAATAAATTAAGACAGAAAGCTGTAAAAATAACGTAATTAAATTAATTCGAAAGTAAGGCCGAACACTGCCCTCAGTTGCGATCCGCTGTATTGTGCGTTGCGATACACCAGTTGCGTTAGCAACTCTAAATAAAACTGTCAACATATTTTACGCCTTCTTCCTATTCTTTTAAAAAAAAAAAAACAAAAATTATGTTTGTCGGGCGACGATTTAAAACACTATTATGCTTTGGTGACATCTTTGTTAACGAATAGTATAGATACCAAGGGACACTTAATACTAAAACAAATTTAAACACAAACAATCTTAAAACTAAACAAAAAACTGAGCACTAAACAAAAACAGTATAATAATAACAAATCAATGAAAACTTTTGTAGCCGCCCGTACTCAAGACAGAGATAGCGACACGAACACGACACTAATGCTAGCGTGTGAGTGAGACACATTACCGCGTACCGAGAATTACCGAATTTATACGATGCCAAGAAAAGGGATGTCCAATATGCATGTTTGAGGATGTTGTTTAATCGATTTTATTTCAAATTGATTAAAATTTAAATAAAATAATTTAATACAAGGTGAATGATAGGTTACACATTATGATGTCCGTTGCCTCCAATAACCACTTACGTAAGGTACCAATACACTGTAATAAAAAGGGTGAGTGTACTTATGTACGCGCGTAAGAAGCTATACTTCTTTGGCATTATTAAAAAATAGTTTTTGATTGCATGCAAATAATTAATTACAATAAAATAATCAAAGGCTGGAAAAGGAGTCATTATAGTCAATAAAATTCAGTTTACATTTGAAAAATTAAATAAACAAAATATTTATTATTATTCTCTTACATTAAGTGTAACATAAATTCTATTATTATTCGAATGTTGTTTTAAATTATGTCCAAAGCCGTACTGACCAATAACATGCCTCAGTCTTCTGATTTGCATGAAGGAAATACGAGGTGAAATTAGTCTTTCGGAAATAAGATCTAAAGGTGGCAGATGTTGAGGTATATCTGGATATTTAAAACCATTGAATGTGGATATTGAAGGAATATTCTTCTTGTTTAACGCTTGTATGCATGTGTTGCAAAGCTTCGTATTTTTCGCTGGAATATTAGGTATAATTTGTGTTAAAATTTCTTTATGTTCAAGAGACGGACTTTTCAAGTCATCTTGAAACCACAACCTGTCACATACTGAACATGGATATCCAAAAGGATTGTCTAGAAACTTTTTTTTGAATTCCTGATGAGCTCTTTTTAGTCGTGGAAAATTACTATATGGTAAAGAAGTATCTACGTCCATATCAATTTGTTCATCAATAGAAGTATTAATAAACTGTTCCGGAGAATTGGAAGGAACGGCTTCTCCGTCTTGTGGAGGTAATTCCTGGTCCATAATCGTGTCTTGATTTAATCTATCACGCTCCTGATCATGTACAATGTCTTGAGTAGATAAAATATGTACATTCGAGGCACCAGCTAACTGCTGAATAGTTTCTTGGGCATGAAGCAGTCGGTTTTGCCCCATGTCTGCTAATGAAGTATTTTCTGATGTACGTTGATTATACGGCACAGGAGAATTAGTCATATGCATCTCAGCTTGTACAACTATAAAGTTGCGATTGTCGTGTGTTGAAGCAGATAAAAATGAATCGTTTAAATTACCGCCATCATGATCAGCGATACCAGTACTGGACAGCGTGGAGACATCTGGTTGATTTGTACTAGCACTGATGGTAGCTAGCTGAAATGATGGCGCAAAAGTCCTTATTGGTGAACTTGAAGTTGACGATGTGGATAACATCACAGCCCTGGATGATTCGTCTACTTGTGAAAGCATTTTTTTTCGCAGCCTATAGGCACGATTACGTTCTGCTCCTGTTTTTCTTATTGGCTTGTTTACTGACAAGACTTGACGAGCTTTTTCAGCTTCCTTGGCAGCTTTTTTTCGATTGTAATAGTTTTTACAATGTTCCGCATTTGTTTTAGCCATCTTGAAATCTGAAATAGAAATTGAATAGTACCATTAATAGTCATCAAATGTAAGCGAAAAACTCTTAGATTGATAAATAAGAATGATAGTAAAAAATTAGATATAAAAATTAATAATAAATATAAAANCGATCAGTACGAGGCTTTGTGGCGGACTGCCGGCGCAGCAGCCCGGCGTCACCTGCGATAACGCATTTCGTGTGACATGCGCAATCAGGCGCATAACGCATTTCGTGTGACATGCTAGTACGATTTTGGTCCCCATAATTTTCATACCCCGGGCCTATATATGTAAATCGATTCTAAAGGAGTAAACTCCAAAAACTGAGCACTAAACAAAAACAGTATAATAATAACAAATCAATGAAAACTTTTGTAGCCGCCCGTACTCAAGACAGAGATAGCGACACGAACACGACACTAATGCTAGCGTGTGAGTGAGACATATTACCGCATACCGAGAATTACCGAATTTATACGATGTCAAGAAAAGGGTTGTCCAATATGCGTGTTTGAGGATGTTGTTTAATCGATTTTTTTTCAAATTGATTAAAATTTAAATAAAAAAATATATTCCATTTTGTAGGAGGTTTAAAATATTCACAAACAGTCCCTATTGTAGTAGTTATTATAAATCACTGATATTCAACTAAATCATGTCTTTCAACCAAGAAAATAAAGTGTTATTAGTTTTTTATTAAAGATGAAGTCTCGTTTACTAACGACAACATTCAAGAAGTTTGTAAATCTATTTCGTTCAGTATCTCATAAAAACAAAAATCAATAAATTCTAAATTGATAAAAATCGATTGCGATATTTGATTGAATAAAGGGACGATTGTGTTTACACAGAGTCAATCCCTAGCCTAAACCTCCGCCCCGCGCACGTCGGTCATGCCACCATTTGGTTCTTAAAAACGTTTGTGCGCAGCCTTCTGCGCGAAGTTCGGACTCGCCAAGATACATCGGTCGTATTGTAAGTTGAGGAAATAAAAAGGGTGCGTGTACTTATGTACGCGCGTAAGAAGTTATACTTCTTTGGCATTATTAAAAAATAGTTTTTGATTGCATACAAATAATTAATTACAATAAAATAATCAAAGACTGGAAATGGAGTAATTATAGTCAATAAAGTTCAGTTTACATTTGAAAATTTAAATAAATAAATATTTATTATTATGTATTCTCTTACATTAAGTGTAACATAAATTCTATTATTATTCGAATGTTGTTTTTAAATCATGTCCAAAGCCGTAGCATCTTCCGGTAATGTCTGAATTGGAACTTTAGTTATCAGTGGCCTATGATAACTAAAGTACGATATGAAAATGTTTGTATTAACGGCGTTTAGATATCGTGAAAATACAGCATCTATGGTAGTGTCGTGTCGTGTTGTCGAAATCAGAGGATTATTATTCATGGCTAGATTCTTGGAGGAAATCAATAAGTGGACGAGCATCTTCACGGGAAAAATTGACGTTAAAGTCTCCACTTAAAATAATCGGTAATTTATCTTCTCCTCTACTAAGATATTCTCCTCCAGCTTTTGTATATGGCCATAATATTCTTTTCAGGAAATGTATGATGTCCTCCATTTTTTGATTTGGAGTAATGTAAATTACCATTAAAACATTTTTATTACCATCTTCCATTTTGCACTCAGCTACACAAAACTCACCAACTGATGTCAATGTTGAACTTGTCAATTCCGCCTGTCTTACAGTCATATCAATATTTGAAGTAATAATATTGCTAGTATCGTGCATATTCTGATAAATGGCAACTCCTCCAGCTCGAACGTTCGATCGCTTATATTGTACTATGCAATTGAAATTTGGTATACTAATCGACTCTTCATTGGCTAACCAGGTCTCATTTAAAAGTAAAACATTCGATTGTTGCATAATTTGATCGAGGAGATCAGTGGAATGAGCCTGGAGACTTTCACAGTTAAAAGTATATATTATTAACCCGCTCTTTTGATTAATAAAATCTAACAGATCATTGCTGATAGTTTGTAAGTGATTAAGCGAGAGTCTACGGAATTCTTCTTGAAGACTATCTATAGCTATGGATGCTCTCCGGCCATGATAGAAAGTTTTATCATTGTTTTTTGTTGTAATGTATAAACCTTGGAGGCTAGTCAACTGTGTCAATGCAACATACACTAATGATAGTTGATGATTATCATATTCATAAACAATTTCAGGGTACGTACTACCCTGAGATTTGTGAATAGTAGTTGCGCAAGCGCAAACTAAAAGTGTATGCGATCGTTTAACATTTATCGTTTTGTTATTATTAAGTGGAATAGTTGCAGATCTTCTTCCTATCGGTA